GGATGGGCAGCACGGGGGGGGAGGAGAGGGGCCCTTGGAAAGTGCCTTGACCGATGCGCTCGCAGGTGAGAACGCCCGTGCGACGGAGCGGGATGAAATGTTGCATTTCTTGGAAGAGTATTTCTAGGACGCGAGCTCGGCATAATTGCTCAGAGTGGCTGCCGTGAGAGTGGTGAGAGAGGACAGGGAGCGATGGACGATGAGAAATTGGAGGACTCTTGGGCAGAGGAGACCGGGCGAGGAAAGCGCATGAGAGGAGGACAGGGAATGTACATGGGAAAGGTTTGAGGAGCAAGGCAGAACATGCAAGTCGCTCCTATTCAGCGAGCGGGCAGACCAGGGGGAAGGTGGTTGTGGCGACATGAATGGCGGGACAGGGCAGACGGCGCGCGACGTCTTGAGAAGCTTGGGGAAAGGGTGCACAGCACAGGCAGGGTGTGGGCTCGCGTCCGCACCACAGAAACAGAGAACCTACAACAAGAGGAAGGACAGCAAGGGCAAGGACAAGATCACCAAGTTATATCCTTCTTCAGCTGTCAAGACGATCTTCAAAGATGAGAAAGAACTTTTACGATGCAGCACCAGCCTTAATTTCAATGATAGTCACGATGACTTGGACATGTACCTCTCGAATGGAGGAGGCAGGTGAGGTGCTGGGAACTTCGGGATCACGCACTGGCTTGCCTCCTGGCCGATAGAGGGGAGTACCCGGGATGGGCGAGCCTCTTGAAGGTGCTCGAGGTGTCGGCTTTACGCGGAGCAATGTTTGGTTTTAATTTCAGTTAATGATTCGGTACGCATACGAACAAATTTTTTATGTGAACAACGCCTGTCGTCATTTTCAATCGGTGGAAAATCGGAAAACAGGATGAGAGGCGCGTCAGAATGTGTGCATTTCTTTAAACAGCAGCCATTTCACAACAATTGCAATAATTTGTAGCCGGAACATATTTGAGGCGACCTTTTTCTCGTGCGTCGTTTGGGACATTGCGTGCACGGCACACCCTCGTGGAGAGTGGTGTCCGGGTCGGGCGATGGATAGGAGCGAGGCTAGAAGCGCGGATGCGACTTTGTTCATAAGGGGAGGCGTGGAAACACGAGAGAAAGAGCCGAGTTTTCTATTACAGTCGCTTACGCGGACAAATTGTTGGAGATTATGGGTATAGAGCTGCCTGTGAGGCCCTTCCTGCTTCTCGTTTTCTTTTGTCCAAGCCCGGATCATTTTTGTCGAAATTCACCCGCCCACAGTGAAGGTCCCATGACCACCACCCATTCAAAACCTCTCTTCCTAGCTCAAATTCAAAATGCATACACTGAGGTACCTCGTCCACTTCCCCTCCCTTGAGTCAACCATGATAGATATTAATCGTATCCTCCACCGAGTCTAGGGACTCTTGACCGCCCGAATAATGGTGACAAAGTCACTCGTCAACGACGCGCCGCCCACCAAGAAGCCGTCAATGTCCGGCTTCAGAATAAGCCCTGGGGCGGAGGAACCCTTGACGGAGCCTCCATAGATGATCCGCAAGAGGGCTGCCTGCTGCGCCCCAACCTTCTCCTTCACAAAGGCACGAATGGACTCATGCACTTCCTGCGCCTGCTCGGGCGTGGCCACCTTTCCCGTGCCGATGGCCCACACAGGCTCATAGGCTATTACCACCTTGGACCAATCCTCACGCGCGAGCTTGGATGCAATAGCATTCAACTGCGACAAAACCACCTCAGTCGTCTTCCCCGCCTCGCGTTGTTCGAGCTTCTCGCCCACGCAAGCCATGACATGGAGGCCGGCATCCACGGCTACCTTCGTCTTGGTTGCCACGACCTCGTCCGACTCCCCCGGGCCCCCAAAGCCCTCGCGTCGTTCGGAGTGGCCGATGATTACCCAGTTCAGGCCGAAGTCCTTAAGCAGCACAGCGGGTAATTCCCCCGTGAAGGCGCCCGGCTTGGTCGTCAGGGCCGAGTTTTGTGCGGAAACAGCCACATCTGGACGGAGATTGTCCTTCACGTAGCCCAAAAGGTGCGCCGGGGGGGCAATCACCACCTCAGCCTCCAGGGGGATAGCTCCGCCCTGGTTGAGAATCTTGACAATTCCGGCCGTCTGTGCCAAGGTCCCGTTGGCTTTCCAGTTCCCACCGATCAAATAGCGCTTTTGCGGGGGAACGCCACGGGCCAGATATTCTGCCCATGCTTTGGATGTCGACATGTTGTGGTGCTTGCTGTCTCCGTAAGCGTGTTGAAGAGGAAAGGAGTAGAAGTGAAATGTAAGATCTTTTTGGCCATGAACATGACATTCCCAGCAAGCCGTGGGTTAGGGTCGATGTTGTCACAAGTACATCCAAATTTGTAGTCATCGAGACGGCAGCGGGCAAAAATCGGACCCCTAAAGCGTTTGGACCACATGCCTGACCTATCTTTACTTCGTTCTTGCATCTGCCCTACACGCCGGAGCTGGATCCACCACGTTTGCTGAGGAACTTCGGGGGTTGTGGTCAATGCACCCGCACGTGAACCACTTGCTAGCCTTTGCATCCTTATCGTGTACCCTGTGAGCATTCCTGACCCCTAGGTGCCCTCGTACTTTGCGCGGCGGCTTTCAGTCAGACCACTCAGAAGACTTTCCCTCCTCGCGTCGCCGGCATTTTCTCTCTCCCGCTTCCTCCCTAACGCTTTCGCTTCCGCGTGCTCGCATACACGGACTCGAGGGAGGGCATGCACATTCACATGAGCTTTATTAACCGGTGGTCTCGTCCATACGACGTCAGTAAGCACACAGGGATGGCCGCGCGCCCCTATCGGACCCGCGCCGTCTCCTAGCACCCTCTCATCCCCCCACATCAACTCGGCATGGTTTTTATATGGCCCTTCATTCATGCCTTTCTGGCGGCGCTGATCACCACCTGGGACGTATTACCACCAACCTCGAAGGCTTACGATTTGGTTCCCAACCACATAGTGGCCAAGTACGTTGCATTTTCAGCTTTTCGCAATGGTGTCATGTCGAGGCCTCTGTCTCTTGCATGAGCGCAGTCTCTGAGATTTGCTTCACGTCGTTTGTCCAAATAATATCCAACTTAACCTTCGCTTTCCTCTACTTATTAGGTTGGGGAAAAATACCACCTTTGACCGCGTGGTAAAGGAGTGGGTACGGGACACATGGCGGTGGGGAGAGCCATCCCTCAATCCCAGCATTGCCTTGACATGGGTGAATGGTATCAACTACACGAACGAAGAAATGGAGGAACAGGCCCGGTTCTTGTCCTCCTTGTTCGGGTGCCGTGTACGCCCTTACTACAACCCGTCTTTGGGCTGGTGGCTGCGTGACCTGACGCGCGTTAGCTATATGTACATCCGTTCGCCCACGGAGGACCCGGTCGTGACGGGCCTGGCCAGACACCTCTCTCGTGTGCTCTTGGAGGTGGGTCCCAAGGGTCGTGTCATTCACTTGGCGCACAGCGGCGGTGCCTTGCTCACTTACCTTGTAGCTAAGTACCACTTGAAGGAGACCGACAGGCGCCGAATCGACGTGTTGAATTTTGGAGGGGCGCGAAGCATCACTCAAAAGTACTTTGGAAAGGCCACCAACTACTACGCACGGAACGACCCCATTCTCCTGGTGAATCGCCGCGCCATGAATCTGATGCAGCAGCTGTTGAATGAGAGCGCGGACGGGGAGGTGATCTACCTGAAGCACAACACCTCCTTCGTCTTCCTCCAGGGCCGGGCGGGGGATGCCCTCACGGACCACTCCTTCATCGGGCCCACCTATCTCATGGCGCTTAACAAAGAGGCCGCAGTATTCCGCCGCTCCTACTACCGGCCATACTGGCTGGACGGGCTCATCATAGCCAAGCCCCCGGACATGGGGTGGGCGCGCTTCGTCCGCAAGCGCGTCGCCGCCGCCACGGGCTTCCACAACTACTTCTCCAACTCGACCTTGGTCCGCCTATATTATGGAGAGGACAAGGGGAGGATGACGATACCTCGGCCTCGGCTCGTTCGACCACCAGCAGTGATTTCAGCTCGTTTTCGAGCCATCATCGTGATCAGCAACAGCATCCGCGGCACCCTCAGCCGCCATTAAGACAGCAAGACGAGGTCGAGGGTCAAAAACGCCCCAGACACTTGTCTCCGCCCTTTCTTGTTCATGGAGCGAATGCCTCTGCAGCTGCCATGGCCGGCCGAGTCTCGGGTAGCTATCCCGGCTCGGGGGAGGCGGGAGAGGGGAAGGCGGCGCTTTCGCCTTCGAACACAGTGTACGGAGGAGCGCAACAAGTCAAAGGTGGGGAGGTCTCCGTCCTGCACAGTAATAATGGGCATCGACATGCGCAGAATCCGGAGGGAATTGAAAAAGAGCAGCTATCGCAGCCGAGCTGGCTTCGAGGCGTGGAGGACACCTGGTGGGTCAGTGCAGGACCGCATGACTTGGAGCGGGCCCCCGCAGGGTTGCCGACGCTGGAAGCGGGCGAAGGCATGCCTCATGGGATGGGAACGGATGCGAAGATCCCTCCAACTGCCACGGATGGTCACGGGCTTGAGAATCTCTGAGACCGCGGGGATG